CCATTCTATGGAATCAGAATAATCAAGAGTGACCCATCCATCCATCCATCCATCCCTCCATCCATCCATAGATTTACACCTGTCTTTCCTCCAGGAGCTAAGACAACAGACACAGGATACTTTCTTCCAGTGAGTTCCCTCAAGAGATTGAGGTGGAGCCGAGAAGACTGGTCTAAAATCATTAAACATCCTTCCATTGCTAGATGGGGGGTGATATTTGATTCCCCCCAATCAACATGCTAACCCCCGCATTAGAAAGCAGAATAAGAGTTTGATACCACAGGAACTTCGGCCACCTGATGGAAGGACTCACTGGAGAAGAGCCTAACGCTGAGAACGATGGAGGGCAATAGAAGAAGAAGAAGAAGAAGAAGAAGAAGGGGACGGCAGAGAATGAGGTGGCTGGATGGAGTCACTGAAGCAATTGATATGACCTTAAATGGACTCCAGAAGACGGTGAAGGACAGGAAGGCCTGGAGGAATGTTGCCCAAGGGGTCGCGATGGGTCAGACATGACTTCGCAACAACAACAACCCAGGAACTCAACCTGTGGTCCCACTGTAGTTGCCTTCCCACCCATGGAAACCCAACCTTGACGCCTTCCCTATAAAGAAACCGGGCTTACCTTGTCTACCTTGAGGTGAAGGTGCAAAATATAGAGGATAGTGACCACCATTTGAGCAATAACGAAGATAGTGATCACCCCCAAGAAGGTCTTGATGGTGGCCCTTGACACTGGTTTAGCCGGTGGCATTTCTGATGGCGAGTACGGCTGCTGCCTTGGTTCCTCCATGTGCTGAATCTATACCTTCCAAAGCTCTCGTGCAACTACCATGAAATTTGGGTCTGAGTCTGTACAGTGTGTGCCAGCCCACAACTTCCTGAGGAACAAATTGCATATTCTACTCTGAGCGTGTGGAGTGTGCGTGCGTGTGTGTGTGTGTGTGTGTGTGTGTGTGTGTGTTAACCCTGGTCTTCCATAACAAGAATGAAACAAAATCATCCTTTGAACCCCATTTCTGGGGGCCCCTACGATGAATTCTTTGCTCTCTTTTTCACTTCTCCTTCTTTCCTTCTCCTCCTCCTCCCTTCTTCAAATTGCAATATCGAGACCTCCTCGGATTTCATTTCTCCGAAGAAGAAGAAGATTTTTTAAAAATCATCTGGGTTAAGCCCAAAAGTCAGCCTTATTTGATGTCCACTGATGCTACATGTCAACGATATATTTCATTCAGAAAAACGTACGGAGTCCAACATGGTTTCTCTGGAAAGCTGGCACATGGTGCGTTTATGTTAACATCATCCTCCCCCTTTGATTGCAACTCTGAAAAGAGGCTCCATGTATTGTTCTTGAGTAACGGCCGTTACCAGAGGTCTGATCCTTTTCTAGAAGGGGCCTCCTCAAACTCTCCAGCTTCCCTGAAGCTTCAAATTGTTCATCGACACCGAAAACATTTACGATGTGAAAAGAATTGAATACATTCTATTTTTAACTCACAGCACTACACATAATAATGATAATAATAACAAGAACAGAAGCATGTCCATCAACCCTTGGGAGTCATATTAACCATTTTGGAGTTCTAAAGCATCAAGACTAACTTCACCCTGTGATAATTCTCTCCTGGTTTAAACCAGGATCAGAAATAATTACAGACAACCTTCATCCTCAAAAAGAATGACCATGAAAAGCACTCAAGTTGGACATAGAAGCAACAGCATCGCTCTCTATCAAAGAACTTCGGATTCTAGTATCTGGAAGGAACAGGGGACATTTTGTTAAAAAAAAACAAAAAAATGTTATAAATACGCAGGCAAATAGAATAGAATAACAGAGTTGGAAGGGACTTCGGAGGTCTTCTAGTCCAACCCCCTGCTTAGGCAGGAAACCCTACAAACGTCTTCTTAAAAACTTCCAGCGTTGGAGCATCCGCAACTTCTGGAGGCAAGGAGTTCCACTGATTAATTGTTCTAACTGTCAGGAAATTTCTCCTTAGTTTTAAGTTGCTTCTCTCCTTGATAGAAATCTAAAGATAACATTTGTTCACGTGAGAAAATCTACGACGTTCAAAGCATGAGTCCCAAATTTTTGTCATGAACCATTTTGATAACATAGATGATTTTTTTTCACACTGTGTTTAGTTGTTGGTTGGTTGAAAGCTGCAGGATGGCATGGTAAAACCTAAATCCCGAATTAACCCTGGATTAAACCCTGAATTAACCCTAGATTAAACTCTGAATTAACACTTCCCTGTCTCATAGGAAATGGGCCTAAAGACTTAAATAGTGATGGTGAGTTTGTATTTTATTTACTTATATATGCATTTCCTGCCTCTGTTATTGTTGTAAGTAAGGTGACACTCATACCCAATACACATTAATCTTTTTGCTGCTGTGACAAAAGCAAGATTTAATAGGTTAAGGATATATTTACACTTGTTTTAAATATTACTTTTGGTTTGATATAACTTAACTAATAGCTTGTAAGGGATATATAAGGTTTTTTTAACATGCTTATTAATGTTTTAGATTTATCACCCGGGTAACAACTGCGTTAATGCGATAACAAAGGAGTGAAGGTTATATTTTCTACTACTTGTTAGTATATTATTGTATTTGTTTGTTTCACTCTCGTTTTGATCTTTGTCTTTTCTGGTCATTGGCAGAGTAAATCGATCATTGATCGATTGATCGATTTGTTCGTTCATTCGTTCGTTCATTCATTCCCTCTCCTATTTTCTCTGCAATTTTTATTTTTTATAGTTTCTTCCTCCAGAATTATATTAATTACAGGACTGTCCAGCTCTGGGAGAATTTGACAATGAGTTTCTTTTGCCCTCGTTTCAAAGATGCTTTTTTTTAAAAAAAAAAAAAAGAGGGGGGTTATTTTTTTCTTGAGGAAGAAGAAAATGTTTCTCTTCTCAAGAAAAAAACTTCTTTCTTAAGAAAAAAGTTCTTCAAGAAAAAAACCTGGATAACGAAGAATCTTCATAGACATTTTTGGCCTCACGTTATGGAAAACTCCCATTTCTACCCATCGATAACTTCCAAAAGCAGTTATTTCATTAGGATGTCATTTCATGACTGTACCAAAAAACAACCACCACATAATGCCAAATCAACTTTTCCATTCCAGATAAGCTTTCCAAGGCTCATGGCTGCCGCAATCTCTATTTTCATGACATTTTTTTTTTTAGTTCGTTTATCAAAGCTGTCGAAGAGATCAATCTCCAACCATGTTCTGACACATACAAATTTCTGACCTCTCATCCTTCCGTTGCAACAATTCCGTTGCAACAAACTCGAAGGCATTGAAAGTGCTGATTGTGTTGTTTTGTTGTTTCCAGGTGGCCAAAAATGTTTCCGCCGAGGTTGTATCATTTATCGAAAAGAAGCCTTCCTTGTTTTTATACTCAGTTTTTCTCTTCTCTGCTCCATAGCGACATACGATCGCTAAGATAACTCTCCGGATTTTAACGGAGAGAAAAATAATTGCTAGTCTAGAGAGTCCATAATTTAGTTCTGTTTTTTTGAGCTGGGGGATATGATTTTATCAATAACGGAATAACAGAGTTGGAAGGGACCTGGGAGGTCTTCTAGTCCAGCCCCCTGCTAAAGCAGGAAGCCCAATACCATTTCAGACAAATGGTTATCTAGTCTCTCTTTGAAAACCTCCAGTGTGGAAGGTTTTCTACTCTTGCGTTTGTTGCGGAGAGTGTAGAGTCTAAAAAAACTAAAAATGAGTATTTTTTTTAAATCAAGGGAAATCTTTGGTGCTTCATAATCAAGCAACTCAGAAGCCCTGAATTTGTGGGTTTGCTTGATGTTTTTCATCATCTCTGCTTTTTAATCAAATGTGTTTAGATGAGGAGTGCAAATGGGCTCTTAATTTTCAACAGACTAGAAAATCTAGAACCGTTTTCACTTAGTCCTTCTCTAGAACCCTGTATAAAACCCCAGAAAGGACTATCTAATCGTCGGAAGTGAATATTTATTTGTAGCTTTGGGCTGAACTGAGGGGTCCTGGGTGCTCTCAGAGCCGGGTGGATTTCTTGCAGGGATTTCATGACCCAGCTAGGGAACATCATCAGTACTAGAAGGGAGTGGAGTCTGTGGAGTGGAGAAGAAGAAAAAGAGGAGGAGGAGGAGGATTAAGTAGGCTAGCAAGCACCAAGATCTCGACCCAGTGGAAGCTATTTGAGTTGTCCTGGTGTCAGTAAGGGGCCTAAACTAAGAAGGTCCTGCTCAAATTGAGTTCCACGAGATTAGAAAGCACTGTGCGGTCCTTGGTGCTCTCTGAGCTTGGTGGATTTCTTGCAGACATTTCATGAGCCAGCTAGGGAACATCATCAGTACTAGAAGGGAGTGGAGAAGAATGGGAGGAGGAGGAGGGGAGGGAGGGAGGGAGGGAGGGAAGGAAGGAAGGAGGGAGGAGGAGGAGGAGGACTGTGGGGTCCTTGGTGCTCTCTGAGCTTGGTGCTTTCCTTGAGGACATTTCATGACCCAGCTAGGGAACATCATCAGTACTAGCAGGGAGTGGAGTTTGTGGAGTAGAGAAGAGGAGGAGGAGGAGGAGGAGGAGGAGGAGGAGGAAGAAAGGAAGGAAGGAAGGAAGGAAGGAAGGAAGGAAGGAAGGAAGGAAGGAGGAGGAAGAGGACTGTGGGATCCTTGATGCTCTATGAACTTGGTAGTTTTCTCGCAGATTGTTCATTACTCAACTAATGCACTGATGTTACCTACTTTGGTTATGAAACACCTGCAAGGAAATCACCAAGCTCGGAGTGCACCCAGAACCCCCACAATGTTTTCTCAATTCATGGAACTCCATTCAAGTGGGGCCTTCTCATTTTAGGCCCCTTACTGACACCAGGACAACTCAATTAGCTTCCACTGGGTTGAGATCTTGGTGTTTGCTAACCTACTTAACGATCTTTCCGTCAGCAGGGTATTCACGGGGCCTGGCCAAAAGTCAAGGGGATGGCCTCAGCAGTGGGGATGCAGCTCTGCTTTTCTTAAGAAGTGGACACCCCTATCCAGTTGCTCTGGAGTTTGGCATCATGCTTAGAAGGGCCTCACACAGTCGGTTCATCCCGGTTTGGACGAGCCGGTAGCAACAATGAGCAGCGGAGACCCAACTGGTTCTCTCTGCCACTGTGCTGTTGGGCCCACCTGTCCGCCTCGGCTCCCATACTCACCTTTATGTCCTATTTTGGAAGCACAGCTGGTTTGCGTGGCACGACAGCTGCTGAAGTGACAGGGAGAGTGCAGGCTTGCAGGTGGTGAGTTGGAATGCCTCTGTGCCTGCGCAAAGTGTGTGTTTGGTGCATATATGTGCATAAAGTGTGTGCATGCATGCAAAGAGCACCCACCAAGCTGCACCCACTGAATCGGTGGTAAAAATCTTGGAATCCCACCCCTGCCCCCACACACAGGGGTGGGATTCTACCAGTTCGCACCTATTCGCTGGAACCGGTTGTTAACATTCTAAGCAGTTGGGAGAACTGGTTGTTAGAAGAAATTACAGGGCTAATCCTGTAAGGAAGGCAGGAAGGAAACATTCTGGTGTTGCTTACAGAAACTGCCTCTCCGTTAACCCTTATTACATTCTTGCCAGGACTAGACTTCCTGTCTCAGGAACGTCTCTGGAGTTTTTTTCCCCTTCTTTGCTGGTACTTTGTTTGTGTGGAGTGACCATTCAAAGTTACAATGGCACTGAAAGAAGTGACTTATGACCATTTTTCACACTTACGACTGTTGCAGCATCCCCACAGTCATGAGAGGCCAGGCGAGGAGATGCGTGCCTCGATGTGAGTGATATTGAGTAGGCCACGCCCATCCAATAACATGACCACCAAGCCATGTCCACCCAGTCACATGACCACCAAGCCACGCCCACCACCTAAGCCATGCCCATAGAACCGGTTGTTAAAAAATTTGAATCCCACCCCTGCCCACACACATGCGTTTTGAAGAAAAGCCACATAAATGCTCAGCAGGAAACGCATCAGCTTTAATTGATAACCCATTCTGCAGATTCACACGACACTCCAGACTGAGAAATAATCCCAGATAAGGCTGGGTTTGCACCACCCAACCACCGAAGGGTTCCCTGATGAGTCATGGGAAATTTTTTTCTTGAGAAGCCGTGGTGGACCAGTAGAAACAAGATTGGCCTCAAAGGAGCACATCATAGTCTTCCTCCTCTAACGGCAACTACCTTGTGGTGGGAGGGAGAGGTTCTGGCTATGAGCAACATCCCCTTGGCTTTTGGTTGCCAAGAGCAGAAGCCACACAACTGTGTGTGTGTGTGTCAAAAACAACGAAGAAAGCCATAATCTCTTACGGACTTTAGGATGCCTCTTTCTCATTGAGTTGACCTTCCGAATGGCAGAATTGTAGGTCTTCCACAGAAGGCCCCTCATTTAGCATCTTGAACATGGATCTTTCCACACCAGGTTCTGGTTGAGGGTGTGATCTTCAGCCTAGGATGTGGCCACACTGGGAGATTTGCTGCCATCGTGTGGCAATTTGCCAGCCCGCAAACTATTTTTTTTATATTGTTTCTAAACTGAGATTCGATTCGGAAACCAGCAATAGGCGACCGTGGATGGAACAATGTGGGCTGAAGAGTGGCTGAAGGTCCTGGTTGAATGAACTTGGAGACCTCCAAGATGAGGAGACCCCAGCTGGATTGAAAGCTAGAGACGGGGAGTTTTCAGTGGGACTAGATTTCTGCACGCCGTTGGGCAAAAGTCAAGACACATTTCCTTCTACCCGTTCCAAAAATGGAAAGTACATGGAAAAAAAAATCTGGTGAGAGAAGATGGCGGTTCAATTCTTAATTACAGCTCTGTTAAGTCCTTAGAAAGTCTTAAAATAGTATGCAAATGGGTCCATTTTTTTTAAAAAAAGTGCAAATTGGCCATTAGCAGGGATACCTAGGAAACACAAGAGGTTGACAGTTAGGGGATAATATTCATGTATAATATCAGGGATAGGAAGAGGAATGGCATGGTTATTAATACATTTACTTATTTATTTGCATCCTGCCTTTAGCATTTTTACACATCACTCAAGGCAGCAAACATATCCGTCCCACACACCTTCCTCCTTCTATTTTCCCAACGACAACAACAACCCTGTAAGGCAGGCTGGGCTGAGAGAGAGGGACCAGTCCATAGTCACCCATCAGGCTTTCATCTAATAATAAAAAGTCCAAATGTTTTGTCAATTAATTAGAATATAATAGAATAACAGAGTTGGACGGGACCTTGGAGGTCTTCTAGTCCAACCCACTGCCTAGGCAGGAAACCCTACACCACTTCAGACAAATGGTTATCCAACATCTTTTTAAAAACTTCCAGTGTTGGAGCATTCACAGCTTCTGGAGGTGAGTTGTTCCATTGATTAATTGTCTTCACTGTCAGGAAATTTCTCCTTAGTTCTAGGTTGCTTCTCTCCTTGATGAGTTTCCATCCGTTGCTTTTCTTGCCCTGCCTTCGGGGGCTTTGGAGAATAGCTTGACTGCCTCTTCTTTGGGGCAGCCCCTGAGATATTAGAAGACTGCTATCATGTCACCCCTAGTCCTTCTTTTCATCAAGCTAGACACACCCTTTGAAAATAGACATAATTAGCTAGATAGATCATTTCAAAACTTTTGGTGGACTCCAAGCTGCCTTTCCACCATAGCTGTTCCTTTTAGGTTCATTGTCTAGAACTTCTTCACTATCCCCATTAATGTCCCAGGGGCCTCCAGAGGAGAGAGATCTGTTGAAAAAGTCAAAATGGCTGTTGCAACTTTTCAGACCTAACTGCCATCTTGATTATTTTTTCCCCCTTCCCTCCATCCATTGTCCTACAACCTCCATCTTTCTGAGTTGTCTTATTGGTGACACCAATCGGTTAGCCTTTGACAGAAGATCTTCTGCATTGACTATCAACAAGCCAAAATCACTCGAGTCGATAGCATATTTGGAGCCCTTCATAAAAAACCCAAGGTTTTGTACTTTTTTTAAACCAAAAAAATCTCTTTCAACAACAGCAATCTTTATTACGGTCATGGCCCAGTGCCACAAGCAGACAGAATAAATTATTGTGGTTGGTGGCGGATTATCTGTGGGTAGTTAACATTTGCCTAATCTGACATACAACATAGCCAAATTAGGCTGCATTCAAAGAAGTTACTTTGTAGTGGTCTGATAGCAATAGGTGCACATAACAAAGTTCAGGGTATTTTATTAGGTGAGGTGTTAAAAACTGAGTCCAGGCTGTGAATTCAATAGCCCCCATTCTCTGGATTTTCTTCAGATCTTATAAATTGTCATGCCCCTGTTGGAGACGGACTCCGAGGGAGAGGAGGAACAGCCGACAGGGAGTGGAAGTGGGGCTCCAGAGGGTGTGGAGGAGGCTGGGGAAGGGCAGAAGCTGGCTGGGCAGTCAGAGGAGGACCCAGGCCCATCCCCTCTCCATCCTAGGGCACGCAGGGAGGAGAGGATAAGGGAGAGACGTGGTCTACTCAGGAGAAGAGGGCCTTGATCCTCTTCATGGGCTGCAGCTGTGACAACTGAATAAGAGTTTGGACCTGCGTACTGGCGAACGTTGGAAACAAAGCATGTAAATATCTCTAGTTTATGGTTCCTCTCTGGGTTTGGCATCCTTCCCAGTGTGTGTTATCTGTGGACGTCCTCCAGCCCTTATCTTGCCTGGTTTGTGTTGCTTTTTTCCTTCTTCGTGTAACTGTGTGGGAGGGTTTTTTTTTGTCTTTCATCAAAGATATTCAAAGCTTGGAAGCAAAGTGAAGGAATAAAAGGGGCTTCACTGGGTTTTTGTGACTGTGTTTGTTTTGTATCTCACCCTGAGTCATCACATAAATCTACTTCAATTTCAGTTTGGTTCCGTTAAAAAAAGTAAAACCCCAGGAGATTTTTTTAAAAATCAAAGTACACCCGATGACCCTTGGAAGAAATAAATCATATTTACCATTTCCCTCTTGAAAAACACTGTCTGCCTTCCTCCCACCTCTTATCTTGAAAGTACTAAAGTATCACAACATCAACCTGGACGGACTTACCTCTGGCTCATATTTTGCAACCCAGCCGAACCAGTAAGACAAGCCGATCGGGAATCAAGCAAATCTTGGACGGGTCGAGAACATCTCTCTTGCTCCAGGAGGCCCAACAAAGAACCATACTTCTCATCCAACATGCCGTCTTGCCCCATGTGCAGCTCAGAGGTTGGGTACCTCGAACCTGGGGTCAAACATGGACCCCCTCCAGAAGACGAAGGCCAGAGCTCAGCGGTTGCTGGAGAAGCTTCCTGGAGAATGGAAGGCTGGTAGACATCCATCGCGGGAACAACTGGGTTTTCGTCTGAAGCGCACAGGTTCAAAGGGGAGGCTGCACCATAGGGCTTGGTCCAGTGGGGTGGAAGACCCCACCCGTGAGAAGGTTGGTGGTTTTCTGTCGGAAAAAAAAAAAGCAAAACAGGTGCATTCATATTCCATAGTGAGGTGCATCACCGTTTTCCAACGATAGGTAAATTTTTATTTATTTATTTGCATCACACCTTTATTACTTTTACAAATAACTCAAGGGGGCAAACGTATCCAACGCATCTTTCTCCTCTTAATTTTTCTACAACAACAATCTTGTGAGGTGGGTTGCAGAGGCAAAATGTAAAATCACCAAACCGGTAGTTACACCGGTCGGATCCAACCCGTGGTCTTCTGTATAAGGAATGACTGCCAACTTCATCTTTACCACAGATAGCAAAATAATGAATGAAAAATTGCTGGTGACCTTCTACCGCTGTACCATAGAGAGTATCTTAACTTGCTGCACCCGTGTCTGGTTTGCCAATTGCACAGGGGCAGATAGGACAGCACTCCAGAAGGTTAACATCATTGCCCAGAAGATCATTGGGTGCCCTCTCCCCTCTTTGGAAGAGCTTTATAGCTCCTGCTGCCTTAAGAAAGTTCAAAACATTTTTAAAGATCCATCTCATCCTGGGCACCCTTTTTTAAAACTATTATCATCTGGCAGATGGTACAGAATAATAAAAAGAAAGACAAAAAGGCTGAAAAACAGCTTCTATCCCAGGATAGTAGCTCTGTTGAATTCTAATCTATAGTGCAGTGTTGGTGCAGTGTCGGGGGTTTTTAATTTAATGTGTGGAGTGTGAAGGATGTGTGTTAGTGTTTATTTTCACGGTCATGATGTGCACTGAAGAGGGTGTTTGGTTTCATTGTACGAGATGCAATGACAATAAAGTAAATTAAACTAAACTAAACTAACCCGGGCCGGTTTGAGGAATGGTTTTGAAATTTCGTGACCTCCATTTCCCAGAGACATCATGTATTAAAGACCGTGTAGAAGAATTTTAAAACCCTCTTAGTCACAGCTCAGATTAAATCCCCGTCCTTCAAGCAACCAGCCGGTTTTGTTAAACATCACTACAATGATACCTGAGGAAATCTATTGTCAATAAGAAGTCACGAGCTCTTTGTTGAATGAGTTGCTATCTATGAAATAAGTAGAACAAGCCATGGGCGACAAACTCACCGTTGTTAATAAGGCCATCCTTGACACTGTTGTCGCTATTCAGGTCGGGTGGGTTTTTGGTGACACTCAAAGCTCTAGAGAAATGTTCATCCACCATGCTATTAGTGTCTCCTTGGAAGTAGGTCAATACCATGTAATGGGCTCCCCATTCTGTTTTCACTGGCTGTTTGGTTCTGCTCAGCTTTGCAGAATTATTCTTTGGCTCTTCCATACTTGGAAATAATCTGAAAATAAACAGGACACAAGAAAGGGGTACGTGGAATTGACGGTGGTGTGGAGTCCATGTGACCAATTGTCTCCTGCTTGCCCTCCCCCCCTCCCCAAGATCATGGCTTACTCAGAGATTATGCTTGGGGTGTTCTACCTGGATAAAATAAGAAAGAGAGAGGACATGAGAGGAGTGTCCAGGTAGCCAAAAGGTTTCAGAGAGAAGATGAAGCTATTTTTCATTGGTAACAAGAAACAAGGACCAGAAAATAGCTGCTTTATTTGTGGCTATCACACTTACATAGAAGGAAAAATTTCCTTACGGTAAAATATGTGTAACAGGGGAAAACAGAATGGAATAACTGACACTCTGGGTTGTCCATCTCTGAAGGCTTTAAAAAGAGGTTGGATGGCCACCTTTCATTGAACTGGTTGTCCTATACAATGCTTTAGTATCCCCTTCCAATTTCACAGTTCTACAACTCTATGATTCATTAGGACACTTCAAAAATTGGAGATGTGGGGCTGCCTTCCTGAAGCCACATTCCTTCTCTAGGAGAACGTTCCTTAATGTTCTCAGGAACCATCAGGACTTATACAACATGCAGAGACAACCAAACCAAGCTTGTGAGTACAATGGCCAACATATCGAGTCATTGTGATAACTGGTGGTTTGGTCAAAGTTTAAAGCATGGTTTATGGTTTGGCATGTTGTGTAAACACAGCCAATGGGTAGGAACTGCACGGGAAGCCTAAATATTTTTTAAGCGGCATCTCACAGACTTGGTAAGCCACCCTTCACCAACGCTATTTAATGTGTCTTCTTGGTTGCCGGTCTGTACACAAGAGAACCCACAGATGTGCAATCCAATTCCTCAAAAGGTACAAATCTGTCCATACCCCACGACTAAAGTCCCCATCTTGTAGGAAATGTAGCCTGATGCTAGAGACAGACATGTGACTTTGGGAAGATAGCTTCCTCCGAGTCATTATCTTTTTGATTTCCCAACCGGTATTTGAGAATGAAAATAGTTCTTCCACAGAAAATGGCAGCAGAATTTAATTTTCTTTTTTTAAAGTACCAGAAGCTTTAAGTATAAAGTCAGTTCCTTCAAGATTGAAGGTAAGAGCCCAGCATCTGTTGTCCACAATGACCAAGCAGATATTTTATTCCAGATGTCCACCTCCCTCTACTGTCTCTCTCTATGGTGTTAATATTCCTTCTAGGTAGGGAACAAAGATAGGAGGATTTCAACCCGTTGAAAATCCTTGATTATGAACCAAGATTCACACGATCAGATTAGAGTAGGATGCAGAAGAGATACACAAGAATTAGTTCAGAAGTAGTCGGCAATACACCCATTTTTAAAACATCCACAATAGCATTCATTGGAAACCATAATTCAGAAAACCTTGTTAAACTACTACAACTCAGTCAACCAATTCAAGAAATTGTAGCTCTCCACTGAACACGTTGCAACATTTCCCACAACTTCACTTAGAGGTCTCCATTAGATGCATCTATTCCCTTGCTTGGACTAAACTTTACCCCAAACCTCTGAGTAAGAGGAACTCAAGACTTATTTTCATACCTTTGGTTTAAAGAGAGAACCCACCTGAGTTCACTTCATGCTGTGATTTCTCCGTGTCTCTGCTCCGGGTGGGAACTCTGTAGCAACTCAACAACAAGGAGAAGAACAGCCCCAGACAGTACCAGCAGTTTTCTCTTCCTTTAGCAGTGAGGGAACTAGGCGTATCCTCAGGAGCAGGAATGTGCGAAATGCACCCTGACAAGTCAGCCAGGTTTAGAGGTTTCAGGAAAGGAGACAATAAAAAATATTGTTCAGGGTGCTTGTAAAAGATAGCTGGCACCTGTGGCTTTGTGCCCAAGCCAAGAATAAGGTCTCCAGAGTGAAGATCAGTTCCTGGTACTACAAGATGGACATGATGTCTGAATTTTAAAGAATCCAGCTTTCCTCTTTTAGGGTGGATTGGTGTTGGTATTTCAGTGACTGTATGCTTCGCTTTTTTCTTTTTTTCCCTTCCATTTAATTGCCTTGTTGTTCCTTATTTAGACCAGGAAGTTATTTTCTACTAGTCTCTAATTCCAGAGCCCATGTGATTAAATAGTTGAATATAGACAGGTAGTCCTCAACGTAAAGTAGTTCATTTAGTGACTGTTCAAAGCTACAACGTCACTGTCAGGTGAGGCTCCATGTATATGGGATTTTCATGCCTATAGCCCCAGATCTTGTATAATGTCAGTTGAGACTTCATTCAAAATTCATGATGATGTTGACGATGAATCTTTAGTGAGATTCACAGGCTTTGGGGCTGGTTGGTAGCTCACAGCTCGAGTCCTAACCAAGGACCTAGGAACTATTCAGGTAGCATTGGAGGATATAAGTTGTTAGAAGTAGGGTGGCTTTTTGTAGAATCAGGGTATTAAAGTCTGATAAATCAGGATTTCCAAATGGCGAGGTAGCCGTTTAGGTATTGCTCCAAGGGCTCCAATTACAATTGGGATAACACACAATTTCTTTTTCCAAAGTCGCTCAACTTCAATTTGGAAGTCCCGGTACTTTGTAATTTGAATTCTACTGTAAACTGAAATATTAATGCAATATCAGGGATCTTCAGTTCAATGTGTGGAGCGTGAAGGATGCGTGTTTGTGTTTATTTTCATGGTCATGATGCACACTGATTTCGTTGCATGAGGTGCAGTGACAACGAAATAGAGTAAACTTAGAAGAGAACGCGATCAGGAAAACATTAGAATGTGCAGAAATGAATAGATTAACATGGACAATTAAAGAAAAAGAACAAACTGAAATATGATATGAGAATTATTCTATCAATGGTTGGAAAAGAAAAATGAAAATTAGAAATTAAATATATGAACAGAGAAGGAATGTATATAGAACATACATGAACATATAGAGGGGAAAGAGTTAAGAAGGGGATGGTTACAACAATAAGATATATTATGTATAGTAGTTCAAAATAAGAACGTAATATAATTATTATTGCTATGTTAAGGACATTGAATTAACCATAAATATTATGGCACAAGATATTTAAAAGCACACACTGTTTAAAGAAAAGATGGAATGTTTGTAAAAATAAAATAAAAACTTTGTTTTAAAAAAAGGTCAATTATTTCAGCTCAAGAGACCAAGAGGGGATTTTTGGCTTTTACTGTACTTGGTGGCAATATGGCTGCCTGGGGAATTCTGGGAATCGACATCCACACTTCAAGCTGCTCAGCGTTGAGAAAGACGTGATTTTTTTTTTAAAGAGGCAGAGCGCTGAGTCCAAAAAACTTACCTGCGGGTGTTGTAACCAATACAGATTTTGCCAGTTAGTGATGAATAAAGTCTTGAGACGGTTACCAGAATATAGCACCAGATTGGGAAAGTTGTGAATAATGATTGCCAAAATATAAACATTGAGGATGGATGCATGATATCTTTCTATCATTCTGTATCAGCCTAGAAAAGAGATCTTTCTTGACAGCGTGTCTCATAGGATGAAGAATTTTATGTGTAATTTGTAGAACAAATCAGTTCAAACTGGATTTAATTTAGACTTGGCCCTAGGTAACTGAAGTCTTCATTTAAATAAGAAGCGCTATTCATCTCCAGTTTTAACTGTAAGAAATTCAAATTGATTCCCTTATTCCTGAGTAAATCCTTATGCTGTAAGGAAACTAATTTGCAACAGCAGGACTGAACAATGCCAAAGATGTGAAGAGTCTGTGTCCAGCAATGCATTCCATCTTCCCAAGTAGCTGTATTTGTAACGCAATCGTGTGACAACACACTAAAATATGGAAACACAAAACCTGGTTCTGCGTAAAAATTGCGAGGGTTCTCCTACAAGATTAAACCCACAAATATTTTGTGGAATTAATATGTATCTGTGTAAAAACTAGAGTAGAATTTACAACAATCGCAAGTATTATTTGTTCTCTGAAATATTAAGCCTAATAAATATTTTATCTCTTATTATGAACCATACAAGTCTCAAAATCTGGAATTATGCTATTTGAAGATGATAACAGATTTGCAGACAGGAACCACGGTGGAATACCAGAGAAATTCATGTCAAAATAAATAGGAGATGTAGATGAGGAGCTGGAAGGAAGCAGTGAGATTATATGCGACCACCAGATTTTCCTAGGAAAGGAATGTAAAGTTTGGAAATGACAACCATTTATTTTAAGTTTTGATCCTTGTGTCCTCAAGGCCTGTGAGTACGAATTAGGTCTGGCCTTGAGATTATTTTCCTCCACAAATAAGGCCACAGAGGTTTTTGTGATGTATCAATCATTTAAATTCCACAAATATTTTAATTTGGAACTACCACACTACTTCCTAAGTGTAGTTTTGCATAAGTTTCGCTGATCTCATTCGCTGTCATCGTACGTCGCAATATTCAACAGCAACAAGGAGAGGTATGTGCATTAAAAACATTGCCCCATATTTCATTTGGACAGGTGGCCACCTTTTAAGAGGTTTTATTTCTAATCACTCATTTTCAGTGTACTCAACTTCTCAAATGTTTTAAAAGAAGTAGGTCAGGTTTTAGCAGTTAGCGCCTTTAAGACAAAACAGCTCAAAGGCAACGCATTTTCAAGAGACGACTTGATCACAAATTCAAGGTTCAAAACTGGTCCATTAAGCACTTAGCTTTATTCTACAAAAGATTATTCAGCGAAGAAACAGTTTTTCATCGGTGTGGATTCCTAAAGAGTCCACGGAGATGCTCAACAGTCAACCATGTTGTCAAAGCTCCAACAAATCCACCCCCATTCAAATCATAAGTCTCTAGCCACACCTCTCAGGGTAAAAAAAAAATGATTTATTAGGAGTGGCCATGTTGGCGTTAGCCGGGTGCAGCTGACACTAAAATACACCGTTCATTTTCCTCTTGACCCTGGTCTTCCCCCCACTCCCTGGATGTATATTCTCCAATGGGACACATCCATAGCCAAGAGTCATCAATCATGCTCTCTGATAATAATCTTGCGTGCCGACAGCTTTGGGCTGCCAAGGTGATTATCTGAGGCATTTAAGGAATGCATTGCTTTCCCCCGCTCCCTTTCTGCTGGCAACTAAAAAGACCAAGGGAGTATTTTTTTAGTTGACAAAGGTCCTTGGGAAATTCAACTTCCTTCTTTCTCCCAGCGAAGAGAGATAAAAGCTTGAAATTCCACTTCTAGGTTTGCTGCTATTTAGAGCCAACAGAAAATCATTTGCGTAATCCTCCATCTCGAGCGATGAATGGGCCGAGATCCTGGTTTAATGTTTTCCACAAGCTACGATATCATGTGGCTAAAACAGCAAACTCGACGTGAAGCATCTAGTTTCCTACGCTCACATGCAAAACGGAGAGCACAGGTGCTGTGATCGTCGCGACAAAAGCCCAGGTATCCCCATTAAAGTGTACCTGAAATGGCTGAAACAACCATTCATTATTTGAACAGGTTAGTTTTTAGACGTCATGTCCTCGTTGGAGTGATTCTGAGGGGGAGATTGAGCGGCTGACAGGGAGTGTGGCTCCAGTGGCTGTGGAAGAAACGGGGGAAGGGCACAGTCCGGCTGGGCCTTCAGAGGAAGGACCCAGGGCCACCCCCTCTTCATCCCAGGGCACGCAGGGAGGAACGGAGAAAGGAGCAACATGGCTTACGGGAGAGGAAAGGGCTCTGATTCCTTTCATGAGTTGCAGCTGGGAGAAGAGGATATAAGTGGGGCGTTTTATACAGCTCTTTGCTGGAAGCAAAGCATGCAATATCTTCCTCAAGGCTTATCTGGGTTTTGGCATCCTCCCAACTGTGGGTGCTGCGTTATCTTGTGGAAGCCTGCAATTTATCATCCTGGCCTGCCGGGTTGATTACTTCAGTGTGGTTTGTGTTGTTTTTTTTATTTCTAATTATCTTTACTTGGGTTCAGGCTGCATTTCTTCCCTTCGTAGACTGTTTTTGGAAGAGTTTGGACATTGGGGCCCAAGTTGGAGGCATTAAAGGGAATTTATTCTACTTTTGTGACTGCGTTATTTTTGTGTCACGCCCTGGGTCATCACGGAAGACCACACAGCAAGTCAATTTGGGCAAACCACTTGGAAAGTCTTGGCAGCGAATAAAAGGGGGAAAAAAGAGCATTTTTGAGCGGCTTTTATCTACTACCCAAAACATAAAAATTCGTTAAAAATTTGAGAAACAAATTTCGGGAATGAATCTCAAAACGATTTTATTCATAGTTATCTCCTATAATCAATCCAGTATAAAAAAATACAGGCTTCATACACTCTGGTCTCGACAAATGCTCGAAACACAACTATAGTTAAACAGTTAAACACCGGGAACATGGCAGGAATTGCACCTCCAAACGCACATGCAATCCGCTGCATGTTCCCGATGAGTTAATAATCTAAACGAAAATTTATAGAAAGATGATCAGAATTCAGCTCACTTACATTCTTTTGCCTGTTTATTATCTAGCTTCCCTCAGCGACGAACTTCTAGAACGAACAAAGGACGTGAATCACAAGGAACTTTACACACACACACACACACACATACACACCAAGAGGAGCATCTTCAGAGCGTGATCTTTCAAACCTCCTCCTACTGTGGGGAGGGCGAATACAATCTGAAATGATCTGCTACTTTAAAAAAAAAACCAATTACTATCAGGAAAACCGGCGTATTCCAAGCCCATGCTGGTGCATCC